ACGGCTGAGGCCCGGGACCGCGATAGAAAGTTCTCTATCTCCGATGGCCTTTTTTACTTCTCCGAGAAGAAGCGGGAAAGATTGGATCTCGTATTTCTTCTTCTCGTTTGGAATGGACTTGTAGTCATCGCCATTACCGCCAGGGTATTCCCAATCAATATCTACATGTGTCAGTCTGAACACAGGTTGACCTTATTTGACATACCAACACAATCAAAGCCCAGCATGTCAACGGTGGAAGCAATGTTCTTGGCAAAGTTCTTGCGGGTCTTATCGGATTTGGCAGCTTCGCTGAAGCCAGTAGCATCGCAGGAGGGTTGGTCATTCCTAAGATGTTGCCAATACTGATATTCTCAGTGAGTTAGGAAGCTTGTCAGGACTGGCCCTCCATGCTTCTAATCATCAGACAGGATAAGCTACCGAGTTAACACTACCGAAGCGCACTCTTCCACACAATTGGTGCGCTTTAGTGTCATTATGCAGATGGCGTTTATGTTCCCCGCTGCTGTTTACTTTTTCGTCTTCTTCTTTCTTTTTCCCCTTTATCAGGAGATGGCAAACCTTATCGTGCTGTATTGTAAGCATTTAGTTAAAGCGGTGGCTTTTTTCACCACCTTTCCAGCCAATAGCTCCAACTTGAGATGAGTTTCGACGGGCGAGACCTCAGCTCACTAGCTCAATCTTGTCTAGTGGAAGCTGGAGTAAACTCTGGGGTAACCCAATACATACATAGCGTAAAGCTTATGTGCAATGACATTTAATTTTTACCCTGATGCTGCTATACGAAGCTGAATCGCGAAGGATTCACCTGCACACCATCAGTTGACTCTTCCCCTGAGTTAGCTACAATACTATCGGAGGCCCACAATCCTTTGCAGATTACCCCGCATCCCCTTACCCTGCTTGTATTATGCATTAAAAGGAGAGTGCTCCCGGCTTCTCTCCACCCTCATCAAAGTGGATCCGATGAACAGCTAGCCATGACTTTATCCTCGAGTGTCGAGAAGGACATTGCTATTGCATGCATATGTTCCGCTCTAATTCTGGCGCGATGCGGCTATCGTATGTATCACGGGTATAAGGGCCATGCAAGTTCCCATAGAATCTGGCACGCCGACGATGTTTACATGGCTGTTGCTCTGCTGCCTCTTATTTCGCGCACCATCTGCGTTTCTTTGTCCTTCTCGTTGAATCCCTCCAGCTCACGCGAACCTGCAACGCAAGAGGAGGCCGCAGCTCAGCACACAACTGTTGAGAAGCTTGATCATAATCGGATGGTTGGACTTCAACTACTAATTGGCACCCGATTGAGCTACCCTCTGATGTAAGCCTTTTTGTGTCGGGCTTTAGTTGCATACTGAGACCTATAGTCTTTGGATTATGAAAGCAGCCCTGCTTTCGTTTTACTCTCGCTTCACTTGGGTGATGAGCTGGGGCAAGACTGCAGTCAAGGCGCTATGGTGCCTTTTATTTGTTTCTTGTCTTGTCATTATCGTAGCAGTATTGGTCGGGTGCCGCCCAATCTCGCTGTATATGTCCCTTGGCCCGCTGGCTGATCATCGTTGACCTTTGTAGGATGTGGAGGCTCAGCCCTAAAGAAACACGTATGTCTCTCTTTCATTTTTCCCTACTCATCCAAATCTTGATGTGTTTGAATGTGATTAACGCGTATCAGAGCCCACCTGTCAAAAGAGCATGGTTTACTTTTTTGCCATGGCAGCGGGCAACATCAGCACTGATGTTGCGTTCCTATTCCTGCCATTTCCGACGCTTGCAGTCGCGAGATTAAATACGAGAACGTAAATCAACCACCTCGTTGTGTTTATTGTAAATCAAGCTGACAATAACCAGTAAAGTACAGCCTGGAGTCTTATTCAGTATCGGCATTTTACTAATTACGATTACAATTGTGCGAATACCACTCATCCTCAACGAGGCTATGTCCCAAAAATCTCGGTCAACTGTAGGTCATTCTTGCCTAAAATCACTCATATGAACATGGTTCTAACTTCAATGAGTGGGCGACTGTAGAGATTCTGTGTAGTTGTATAGTGGCAAACACGCCTTTCTTTTACGGAGCTTTAAGAGAACTTGGGCAAGACAAGGGTACACAGCCCTCAGCGACTAATCCGAGCCGATCAGAAGGACCATTCTATTTGCAGAGTCAAGGGGTAGATCACCGCTCTTATGAGCTAGAAGCTGCAAACAGCGATGCGGATCACAACTCCCAAGAGCTTATCATCACAGCATAATTAATTTACTATTGAATCAGATCCGTGCTAATAGCTTAGCCTGTATCTCTAGAAACAATACCTTTGGCCAGTCATCCCAAAAAGTTAATTTTGTCTCTTTCATGTTGATGACCTCATTTGTTGAAGCCACTTTTAGCTTCCAGCTCGTATTTCAATCATCTCCGCCAACTCTATCCTCTTTAGTGCTCAGAGGGACCTGATCATACCATCGGTGGATGTAATATCAAAGTTGAGCGAGCAGAAAGCTGATCGGTGCTATTGACTTGAACGTTGGTTGATGATGTCGTTTAAAACGGTAATGCTTGCGAGACTTTCATCAAGCACATACGAGCGGGCGATCACCTGGTAAGGTATCTCGTTGAGGGATATGATTCGTTTGAGCAAGCCAAAGTTAAAGGTGGCCAAGTTGTCACATCGAAGATCATTCAATCATCCAGTACTATTCTTACGGAGGAATGGCTGTTGGTTGTGCATCCGAGCCAACATGCTAACCCAACCTGTGATACAGACATCCGCCAAGCCAAACTTTTGCTTGGATGAAGTTCCGACTAGTGACTTCCGGTTCTAGGACGATAAAGCTGTTTTGCGTCTAGCATGGTGTCCTGGCCGTCAGGGTACATTGAGGGTATCCAGCGCCTGAGACCAAAGTTAGCGAGCGGCTATGCCTTGAGAATACTAACTCATATTAAGACACCCTCCCGCTACATACCTGACGTCAAAGTGGAATGATTTTTACATGTTTATGTTAGAGAAAGAGTTGATATGTACAGGATCCCTGATGGGCATACGTTATCTACTAGGCCGTCGTTTGCAACAACGTATGAAGGGCAAGACGATCCTTGTTAGCAGTTAAAGTCATCAACAGCGAAGTAACGCCTCTAAATTATTGTTGTTCTGTATTCAATCATGTGTCAAGTAAAGCCTGCTCTCTGATCAATATGTGTGCCCTCCATATCTTGGAGACGTACCGATTGAGCAGGCGTCGTCCAAACAAGTCATTGACACACCCTTGCTTCTCCATTTGGAAGCTGGAACGAAAAACAATGTAGATACGGTTCTAATGATTACCTACCCTAGACAAAAAAGCTGATTACCGTCTCTCCCCTGTAAAAAACTTTCCTTGGCACGCACTGTTAGTGCCGTGCTAGGAGCGGGGTTTTCCACAGGCCACGCAACCATACTAAATTGCGGGGACGCTATCGGCTCTCTAACAGCAGTCTCCAGAGAAGGAATTTCGCAGAGTTTGCCTTCTTTAACAATACCTTTACCGGATGTAATGGCGGCACCTCAGAACCAACAACGCCTTAGATATCGGAGGACTATGCCCTGAGAAATCATAGCAGTATCCTTCCGAACCAAGATCTGAAGAAAGACGAGGAAGGAGGGTCTAACTTATTAGCTTTCTATTTTGAGCCGAATGGGGATGGATTGAACGACTCTATCCACCAAATGCCCCTAGATATAGAGGTATTGACTACCACGATCATCTAACCTTTAATCAAGATGTATACGGCGTGCACATGGCCAACACGGTAGGAAAAGTCGCTGGAATCTGCTTCGTCCGGATTGATCGAAGCTCGAGCGAAGTTATGTTATGTTATGTTATGTATATTTTTCGTCCGGGGGGCCATGGGCCCCGAAAAGTCCCCTAGTGGGGCACAGGACGTGCTGGGCTAGAGAAAAACCGGGTCTATCTACGCGCTAAATACAGAATGTTATTGGCTACAGGCAGCCGGTCACTCGTGACGCGAGATTCACCTTCGCCTCGAAATCCAATTTCTACAAACCGCGTCGACAGACCACGAACTATCCAGCATATCGTCGGCACAGATGGCGCATCCTATCGAGCCTGTTACCCGTCAGCGGGATGACAAGGCGCAGCCGACATATCGCAGCCGCTTTTAGAGCCTGATATCAGGAAGGCTGAGATCAGCCTGTTCACGCGGCAGCTCGAGGCTGTCGCAAGATGTTCACGGCCAGATGGAGGGCGTGATGGCGCTCTTCGCCTGGCCGCGAATGAGTAAGAGAGGCGAAAAGGTAACAAAAGAAATGCATATAGAAGGAGAGAGGAGAGGAGATGCGAGTGCATCTCGAGTTGTTTTCGCTCAATAGCGAGGGCAGATCTTTCCAAAGAACACGCTGTTCTTGGACAAGTCGACAAATTTGTTGAATTCACTTCCTATTGCAAGGTTGACTGCTGCATTCGGTGAAGGTGTGAGCCTGATCCGATGGCGCGGCAGTACCTTTCTGCAGTAGAAGATGTGATCCGGTGCTTTGCGTCGGCCGCATGAGCAGTCCAGGCGTGCATCGCCGTGGTCGAACCTCTCGTGATACGCGGCGAAGTCCCCGTGAAGGGACCTCGCTGCCAGCAGATGGTGCAAAGCTGCTCGCGGGAGCGACAGCTCCGGCGGGCAGCCTGTGGTCGCCTTGAGACTGAGTCTCTTGTACTGCTCGGGAGCGGCGGTCGACCACCATGCCTCGAATGTGTTTTTCGGTTTTTGTCTTGCCATCCTTCGCAGGTAGGCCAGTGTTGGGCGAGCACCCTCGGGCTCGGGAAGTGAAGACGCTGCTTTTGCCAGTCGATCGGCCTGTTCATTGCCAGGGATGCCAGTATGTCCTGGCACCCAGCGTACGTGTGTGTTCCCATGCGATGCCGCTAGAGCCTGAAACTCGAGGAAGACGTCTTGGGAAGAGTCGGATGGTATGCCTTGCAAGCATGAAGCTGCCGCGAGGTTGTCTAGGCATATGATTATGCTTTGCGTTACTGATTTTCGCAGATTCAGGGCTGCTTTTAGGCCCTCTAATGCCCCTCTGGCTTCAGCATCAAAGACCTCAGCCGGTCCGAGGCGGCCTGATCCGTCAAAGATAGGTAAGTTGTCCTGGTGAATGGTGAAGCAGTAGCTGGCGACTCCTGTCTCGGATAGAGAGCCGTCCGAGTAGACGATCAAGGTGAGCGCGTCGAGTGAGTTGACCCAGCGGAGGAAGGTCTTGGCTGTCTTCTCCTTTGATGCTGTTTGCAACGGTGGTATCTCTTCCTGTTGGAAGCGTTTCTGGAGGAGCTTAGGACGGGTGCAGGATGTCAAAAGCTCATCTGTACGTCGGAGACGAGTTCTAAAGCCACTTTCTGCCTCTTGATACCTTTGCTTGATGAGATCGTGGTAGGTAGGTTGGCGCGGTGGCAACGTTCGCCGCACAAGAGGATGGGCGTCGTCGAGTGATTTGAGCCGCGCGGAGAATCTCCATCGCCGTTTTCCCAAGAGCTGATCAACTGGCGGTATCCCGCTCTCGTGGTGGAGGATGGTGRTGGGCGTCGTTTTCCAGACGGGCAGTATAGCTCTCATCGACTGGTGTAAGGCCTTGTTCATTCTTTGTATGAGATGTTGATTGCTCGATGGCGTGTCTCTGTTAGGCTGACTCCATCGCGGTCTGGTGGTGCCCGGGTACCAGGCTTCCGATCCATGCAGTAGTACCGGCTCGACACAAGCCATGACGGCACTTCGCACGGCGCTCGGGAGAGGGCCGTGTATCGTGTTGGCGAGACCCCGTAGATGATAGGCGACGGCATGCGCCTTGGCCGCCCACTTTTCGACGTGAACGCGGAACGATAGCCTGCTGTCAAGCCAGATGCCGAGCCAGCGTAGGGCTGACTCGGGGTGCTTCTCGACATCGCCGTGGCGTATAGCCGGCGWGRYCCTGRGTTTGCTGCGGGAGAAGTGCATGACTTCGGTCTTTTTCGGGTCAAACGAGACGCCATTTGCTGCACCCCATCGAACCATCTCACCGATGGAGCTGGAGGCCGTTGCAGTGGTTTCATCTATTGTGTCGCCTATAGAAAGGATAGCCGTGTCGTCTGCGTAGCCGAAGCGGCCCTGGGGGTTGCCTAGTCGGTAGATTGGCTCAGTGTAGAGCAGGAAGAGGATGGGCGATACTGGTGAGCCTTGAGGCAGGCCACACTGGAGAGGAGCGAAGGGCGTGAGGGTGTCTTGATACCTCACGCGGGCTGAACGATCCTTCGTGAAGGACTCGGCCCATCTGGCGAGATGGTCGGGCCAGCCCTGTTCACGGAGACGCAAGACTAGTCTGTTGCGCATGACGGTGTCGAAGGCACCTTGGATATCCATCGTGACCAGGGTGGCCACCTTCTTGCGTGCGAATGCTTCTTCGATATCGTGGACTAAGGCGGTCACCAGGTCTGTTGCCGACCTTTTGGGGAGAGCGCCCGCCTGTTGTGGATGAAGGACGCCATAGTAAACAGCTGCCCACGCCAAACGGCGAGCGATCAGTCTTTCCAGCCCCTTGCCGAGACAGGAGAGCAAGGAGATGGGTCGCCAGGCCCCTGGCTTTGTGAGGTCTCGTCGACCAGGCTTCGCGATCATGACCACTTCTGCCTCCTTGAACGGTTTTGGATGATGGCCTGTGGAGAGGGATCTTTCAAACAAGCGACGGATGTGCGTTCCGACGACGTGCCACACGGCTTTGAGAAGATTGACGGTGATATTATCTGCCCCCGGAGAGGTATTACCTGTATGGATGGTCGCATACTGTGCTTCGTCTAGGGGAACTTCCGGCGAGAATGTGATCGATCTAGGGGGAGAGACGGATGTCCAGGGGTCTGCAGTATCATCATCTAGAGTTCGGCGTTCTAGTAAAGCTCTGCGGAGTGCGCTCGCCTTGTCCACCTGAGTTTCGTATACAATGTCGTCCACCTGCAGGGGAGGCGGTTGGAAGGGCCCTGGAGATTTCAGCCACCGGACGGTTTTGAAGAGAGCACTGCTGCTGGAAAAGCTATCGATGAGTTCCTGCCAATACTTTCTCTTCGCTCGACGGACCACACGATAGAGGTCTCTCTTGGCCATCTGGACATCCTGGTTGAAGCCGAGGGGGTAGTTCCTTCTGATGGCCCGGAATGTAGCCGCAGCACCGGCACACTCCTCTGTCCACCAGGGGGCTGGGCGCCCCCCTTTCCGTGAGGGTCGGCCCGCTGCTTTTGCTGCCGATGTTAGTAGATTTACAAGTGAAGTCGCAAGATTGTCCAGCTCCGCGGGCGTCGAGTCTGCGAGCGGAATGTCTGTGGCTCCAAGTTCTACGATCTCAACGAATCGTTTTAGCTCATCTTCTGTTGTCACCCGGATCTTGCCCGGCTGTGACGGGGTGGGCTTGATGTCAGGGACGGTCAGACTGAGCGTAAAATGGTCAGAGCTGGTCGCTAGATGGTCCTCCACAGTGGCTTCGGCCAGTGGCATATTAGTGAAGGCAAGGTCAATCGTGTTGCCATGCGGATTTGTCGGGATATCGGGAGTATTGAGGAGATCGAGGTCGTTCTCTGACGCCCAGCCTGCGATCTCTTGGCCGCGGTCCGTAGTCTGGCCTGACTGCCAGCTTCGATGTCTAGCATTAAAGTCGCCAGCGACGAGGCAACGTACTGGAACAGGCCATCGAAGCAGCGTGCCCAAGGCGTCCCCCTCGTCGTTCTAGCGATAGAAATTGACTATCGTCAGGCTATTAATTGTGATCCAGAGAATGTCACGAGTCTAGAAGGGTCGAATCTGGTCAGCGAGAAGTCTTGGGTCTCGTCGGACATATGTCATGACTCTAGGCCTAGTCTCGTTACTGTTCCACATGTCCACGGGCGTGAATGTGTCGTATGCCGGATGCGTTTTGGTCAGACACCGAGTTTTCGTATGAGCTGTCCATGGTTCCTGCAGGAGTACGATGTCATATTTTTCCGAGTCAGCCAGTACTAGGGCGCAATCGTGAGCCGGAGGGATCTTGCCGACGTTGGCCTGGAATATCCTGAGCGGCTTCCTGTCGTTCTTTCGTGTCTGCGAGTATCTATTCCTGGTCATGAGGACGAGTGATGAGTACAATTCGACGCTTTCGCGGTGAGCCTGGTCTAGGATGCTCGGGCTCCTCCATTTCATAACGCGCCCTGGGGGGCGGTGGCCACCATGATGCACGAAGGTGCCCCTGACGCGGCCGGGCTCGGGTCTCGGGCGTCTGGACGTACGTCTGCTGGGGTATCGTCCCTCAGCAGCTCGGTCGTGTCTTGTCGGATTTCTATGTGGGATTCTGGCTGTGAATCCAAGTGACGTTGTCGGTACGTCTCAGCGCCCACTATTCTGATGTGTTCCCGTTGTTCTTTGCTGAGCCGGCGGAGGACGCCACGCACTTTCTTCGGCCGAGCTGGACACGTACGAAGGCTGGCATGGTGAGGGCCTAAGCAGTTGACGCACTGCTCCCATGCAGCGCAGTCGTCTTCAGAGTGGCCAGTCTTGCCACAGCGTTGGCAGACTGGCTGTCTATGGCACTTGCGGGCAAAGTGGTAGCCCCAGCACGTTTCGCACTGCTTGGGTACGTCAGTCTTGTCTATGAGTCTGGCCGCTCGGCTGCCGAAGAGGGACCAGAACCTCTTGGTGGGCTTCAGAAATGACACGAGTAGAGTCTTGGTCAGGGGGTTATCCGAGAGCTGTCTCCCAGTACGTATGTCAACAGGCTTGAGCCCTGTCTGGATTTCTATCTCATCACTGACAACGCTGTCACTATCCACCTCGTTGCCGCGAAAGTCGGTCAGTCTTCTGGGAAAGTCTGAGACCACGTAAGTATGCCATTCCTTGTTTGTTTCTACCGCTGTAGCTCCCAGCTCAGCCGCTCACTCGGCCTGCCTCTCTACGAGAAAATCGCGTGTTTCATGGTCGGCAGTCAGGACTGCCCATCCCGATCTGACCTG